CGTCTTTGGCAAAGTGATGCGAACAGGGAGCTCATTGGCCCATATTTCGCAAGGGAGATCCAAATTCTCCGACTTGCGGCAACCACAGCTCTACCATTGCAGCCTGAAGCAGGTGCCCGTTTTGATCAGAATGACTACTTCGTTCAGGGCCAGCGCACTGAGCTCGTGGAGGAGGTTCATGCAAAGCAAATGGCTGGCCTTCCGGCAGCGGGAACGAGTAGCCGAGCTGCAGGTGCACGTCCTTCCATCACGCGGGAGGAAGCCAACAATGCACTCCCCGAGCTCAACGCCGTCGAGGACTTCTATCTGTCAAGGCTTCCGGTGAGCATCCCGGTTCCACAGGCGCCCGCGAGAACATTATGGATCAGGAGCCAGCCATCTGTATAGGCACTGGCTGGCGCGCCTGTTGCCTCCCCTGAACCTTTGTTTCTCATGAAATTGCACAACCCTGTGTTGTACCTTCGGCCATCCATCTGGCGGCGCCTCATAGAGAACCAATTCAGTCATGTCAGGCAGCGGACAGCGGACCCAGGGTTTCAATCTCGACCTCCCTGCGCAAGCTTGTGCCAACTGCAGCGGGTCCCGGCACAGGGTCTCCCCCGGCGCTGCTCGGCTCTCCGGCTGCTTCGTCGCCTATCTCAATGCCAATTCCAGGGAGACCTGGGCGCTGGCCGAGATCGTCGACATCTGCGCTTCGCCGTCAGAGGACCCAACATCCAGCGCAGCCAGTGCCTCGAGCTCCCAGTCTGGTCCTTCCAAATCCGAGTGAATCAAGGCCACAGTAAGACCGCTTTCAACAGAAACCCTGAGCTGGCTACTGCTACTGCGATTTCGTTCTTCGATCCAAGACCGAGGCCAACGCTACCGGGTGGGGAGAAAGACCAGACTGCTGCCAGACATGGCAAGCCGCTCGAGAGGCAAGGGGACAACCCAAGCGTCTGTGTCACAGACGGCGCAGACTTCCGCTGTGGCCATCGTCGAGCAGGGCTTCTTCGTGGGAGGAGGGCCAGAGATTGAGTCAGGCAAAACTCAGACAAGCCCCTCGAGGACTCGAGGACATCAAGTATAAATCTGGTGTCCGGTGTCCGAGCCGGTGCCAAGTTCGAGCTCATTGTTGATACGGAGATTCGACGGAGATTGCTATGTACTTCGGTGCACTGCTCTTCCGTACTGTGAGCGATGGCGTCCTCACCGTGGACCCTGTTCACCCCAGAACGGTGCTGGGCACCAGGGACACGACCTCGGATGAGACGATTTGGAGCATCCGACCCAGTGGAACTTATTCGGCTGCGGCTCGGCAAGGATATGGTCGTGGCATCCCCGAGTGCCTCTGTCTCCACAAGTACCCGACCGTGGAGGAGGCACGGTGGCGAAGACAGTTTTTACGGGTTGCAGGGGGAAACTCCAACGACAAGTGCGCCAGCCACACTTGCAAAGCCCGAGCCTAAGCGTGCAGCCTCCTTCGCCTACATCGTCCGTCGCGTCATCTTCGACGGAGATTGTGACACCAAAGCCCGTGTTGCAGCCAACGCGCAAGGAGACCGCCGTCCTGAGGGCTACCCCACGACACCGGCAAGACCTCCCGTGCCAGCCAAGAGCATCGCAGCTCCCAAGACTTTGCGCGCAAGGAGAAAGGCAAGGCGACAGTCTGGGGGAGCCCGCAGGCCATTGATCGTGGTGATTTGGGAAAGGTTGCAGCTTAAACCTTACGATTGTGAGAGCTGCCACACAGTGGTCTTTGTGGGCCAGCGCATATGCTTCGGCTGCAACCGCCGGCTCAAGCGTACAACCAGCTTCAGCTCCAGCCAGACCCGATTCTTTCTGCCACAGTACCAATACCCGGTTCTCAGATCTCACCGCAAATGACATCAGGACATCGTCGGGAAGCTGCCAGGGAGCCCTGAGGCCGCGACGTTGGAGAAGGCGAGGAACCATTTGGTCCGGGCCCACGAGTACAACTTCGCCACCATCGAGGACAGGTACGACTGTGACGACGTGTTTGCGGCAAACATGCTGGCTGACGGGCAAACAATCTCCAACATCCGTATCTGGGAGTGTTTGGCCCACGCAGTCATACCCGCAAGCCAGCGAAGCTCCGCCCGGAGAGCCCTCAACCTCGGAGCATCTCAAACGCTGATGGGAGATCAGGCCGAAGATTGCGTTGGGTTTGGCAGTACCTTGTTTAACATCAAGAACTTCGCCGAGCTTCTGTGCCCCAGCCGCGCGTCACCTCCGCCCTGATTACCTCCAGGGCAACTTGAAGCTCCCTCCAGTGCGCGACATTGATGAGTACGCCCGCGACCTCAAAGATCGGTTCCAGCCCAACCAGGCCAACATGATCGCTGCCCATGATGAGCAGAGAGAGCTGGAGTCGCATCAAGCCGGAGTTATTCCCGGTGTTTAAGTGACTGGATCAATCCAGCGCAACAAACAAGTCGATTGCCTGGGGAAACCCATGGCCGAATCTTTGTTCGCTGTTTGTGTTTCAATGATGCGCACTATTTGTTTCTGCCCGCACTGAGCGCCCGGAATTATTATATCATACCGCATTTGTGTCAGTACTGGTTCAGGGGGTTAGACACACTTGCACTTCAAAATCGATGTCATCTGCATTGTGCCGCATTTTCTATTTTTGCTTCGCTACTCCCAGCATGAGTCCCGTCCTCCGTAATAGAGTTGATGCAACCCTTGCTGATGAGTAACAAGTAGCATGCACGCTTTTGCAGCAGTCGTAAGGACTTGCCAAGCAGTCGTAACGCACGGTCTTTGGGACATACGTAGCTTGTCCTTAATTCGTTTCAGCAAGCAGTCGCGGCGGCACTAGAAAACGAGGGGCAACCTTTCGTCAGTCGAACGTAGGATTTCGTTACTTGCATTTCATCGCTTTCACGCAAAAGACGCCTACGTGCTCGAAGAGCACCCGGCGAGGGGGGTGTTGAAATACCCGATACGTTTGAATTGATTTTCCAGTTGCACGTCATGCATGTTACAGCTTGGTTCCATGTGCAATCACATGTTGACGGTGACAATGTAAAAAGAATTCTGTTACAAGGCTTAACGGTAGTTTGCTTGCTAACCTGGAGATCCCCCACTGGATCTTTACGTATGATTTCAAAATCTAACCTTAAACCGTTGAACTTGAGCTACTGAATCAGACAAAACCCGCTTGTTTTGGTCAGGACTCGATTTCTCCACTTTTTGGGGTTTTCGGCCGAGAAATGCCTTTGCCTTTACAGTGCTCTTCGACCCATAATTCCTAAGTGGCACAATTCCTTTTGATTTTTTTTTGCCTGTTGAGCTCGGATTATTATCTGCAGTCTTTAGCTCAATCAGCGGCTGCGGAAGTCGATAGTTCTTGATGCGGCATAAATCTTGCACAATTCAGTCTTTTTTTGATGTTTGGGACCATAACGGTCAACAGTTTATGTCTTCGTCTCCACCTCTCCCGGTGCTTGGTCATGCCTCTGCGCAGCTAGACTTCGCCGTCTGTATGTGCCACTGTAGTATCGTAGGGTTCCAAGGGACCAAAGCATACCAAAGCGCCAGTGACAGCCAACAACAGGCGGTGTCAAAGCAGAGATTTGGAGAGTCAAGGCAAAATCTGGGGACATGCTATTTCTGTCCATGCTCCAAGTCTTATGGACGTTAGTTAGTAACTGTATGTAAACGTAATATATGTATGTATATACACACGCCTGCACGGGGTTGTGTGGTTCCATGTGCAGATCGAACCTGATCAGCCTACTTTCCTGCCGGTGGCATGAGTGTAGTCAAATCTTTACCAAGTTTGTTGTGAGCTGTCTGGCCCGGTTAATGGTGCCGAATTTTCTGCTTGTTGGTGCAGAGCCAAACGCTTTTTCCCGTCTGAACATAGCTGCAATCCTGATCTGTCGTCCATCCGTCCATCCTCCCAGCTGCCCCCAAGGAACCACCATATCGCAAGGTCTTTGCGCGGATGGCGCGATGTCTTGCTTTATCTCACCTGTGCCAACGGAATGATGGGCCTGCCCGGTTCCTCTTGGCCGTATTTGTTGGCGACGCAGCCTTCGCCAGCATGAAATCCAAGTGGAGGCGAGGAAAACCTTTGCGAGGCTTCGCACAAACTGGAAGGATGGATGCTTCGGCAAGCAGTCTACCAATGTGAGGAACACCTTGCTCTAGTCACCGGCTCACTGCCGAGGCAATCACTCAGAAATTAATTTGCTCTCTCACACCGTCAGAACGCCACTCGGCTTGTTCCTCACATGTGGCTGAGTCATCCACCTAGAATGCTACTGTGATACCGCAGCTGCTAGTAGTTGCTGCGTGTTCTTCCCGTTTTTGTTTTCCGTCCTGAATTCTTCTGTGGAAACACCTGCGAATCAATTCGATTACAGTTGCTTTTGCATACGGGTGAGGTTGAAAGGCTTCCCTCAGAATGCGACAGCACTCTCAGACCTGCGTCCTCCTTGCATCGTTGCATGGCAATGTCAAGGAGACGGAAGCTGTTCGTGCAGAAGAAGAAGTTGCAGATGAGGATGAAGACAAAGACCAGGAGAGGCCTGCCTTGAAGTGGAAAACAGGCAAGAGGGGAAACATAGTGTCGAAACGATTGCATCGACTACACATAGGTTCTTTGTGCAGGACAAGGGATCCCAACAGGAAGGGTCCCACAAAGAGGCTGCAAAGAATGTTGTGCGTTGCACGTTTCAACTTGTGCTTCAGCTCTGCTTGTTTGTTTCATGTGGCTGTGGGGCTGTGTTTGTCAGGGGGCTGGATCGGATAGCGAGGATGCCTTTGATCCAGAAGAGGAGGCACAAAGAGCACAGCACATGTGTCTGGCAAATGAGAAGGCGAGAAGGTTGCACATGCTGTCTGCCGAATCTTTTGTAGGCAGCTGTCAAGAGGGATGAGGCGCGAAGACGAAAGAAGATCATCGTGGTATATCTGGCATGTTTGCGAGAGCACCTCTGGCTGAATGCCAGCGGTATCCAGCTCTTCAGACTCTGGCATGACAGCGCATGGAATTTGAGCCGCTCCTCTCGCTACATGAGCCCTTGGGTGCTACTGTGGAGGAGAATGCTGCAGCAACCTTCCGCGTATCTGTGTCTTGGGAATGCTCCGTAACTTTGCCTCAGGAGCCGGCAGAAATCTTCTCAGTTGGCAAAGGGGGTAAGCGCAACAAGCGGCTGGAGGAGGCAACGCTCGGGCCAATGGGGAAGATCCTTCCGCAGAGGGTTTCTTCTTGCCTGATCCCCCCGCTTGTGCTGCAGGCCGCACTGGAAGATGCGAAGGTTGCTTACAGGGCCAAATCAAAGGCACAGGGACTGGTGCACATGTGATGCTGGGTCTTTTTTAATACGCCTGTCCCTAGCGCTTCCCAAGGTAGCTGCTGGGTGGTTGACAGAGATGGGATTGGAGGACACCGTTACCACCTGTGCTGGCAGCCTCGCAAGTGGTTCGCTCATGTAAGGACTGCCTCTTGGCCGAACTTGCTCAAGGTGTGGGAGAGGACTCCCTTCTAGTTTTTTTGCAGCTTTGGACCACGTAGATTCCTGCGGTTGCAGAAGAGAGGATCCGAATGAACTCCGCTTTGCACTGGAGCAGCTGGTGCCTCAAGCTTTGCATGAAATTTGAGCAGAATGTTGCGGCTGTTTTTGGATAAGCTAGCTGCTTTCAGAAGCACATGCCCAACACACAATTGGACTGGGCACAGGCCAGAGCCCAGATCCATCAACGGACAACTTCTGGCATGTTGCGACGCGCTCTTGTCTGCTGGCCTAGGAGCAAGCGCTTCATCGTGGATGATGATTTGGTTGTGTACTCCTTGGTGACGTTACTTTCATCTGTTCATCTGCCTGAAGCTCTGGAAGTTGCTCAAAATGTACAGGTGGAAAAGACGCTCGTGCAAAAAGTCTTTGATGCACTTGGCTCAAATCAGAACAGGATGACATCCTGAGATGTTACCTGCTGGCTGTCCCCCCTGGGAGGTGTTTTAGTGTGCATGCTGAGGTCATGGAAAGCGACATAGAGACCATGACTGAAGTCCTGAACAAGCTTGGTGAAGCGTCAGAGGCACTGTGCTTTCAGATTCTAGAGATTGTGGGGCAGCTGGCACTCTGTCAACGCGGCTTCAAAGGCCGGCGTGCGATTGGCCGTCCGTGATTCCCTGGGAGAGTTGAAGCCCGAATCTTACACCCTTTTACACCACTGTAATCCATCTTCAGATTCCCTGTCATGGAATGGGTGGGCTAGCCCCCATTATAACACGGATTCCATGCCATGAGTTGACCTTCATGCCATTTCATTACAACAACTTGGCAATGGCACCCCCTCCCATGCTAGAACGTCTCATATAATCCCTGTCTAACCTTCACATGACCCCTATATAACCCTCACATAATCCCTATATAACCCTCACATAATCCGTATATAATCCCCACATAATCCCCATAGAGCCCTATAAATCCCCATGTAATACTCACATAACCCCTTTCTCATCGATATATGAGCCATGTGTATTACCCGTATATAATCCCTATAAAACGCTCACATAATCCTTATACAATCTTTATATTAGGCCTAGCGGCAGGCGCCGGCCCATCCGCCAAAACCGAAGTGGCAAGGTTAACCCACCTCATAAGCAAGACCTAAATGGTAGGGTTAACCCCCACAACCAAAACCCAAATGGCAAGCTTAGCCCCTATAAGCAAACCCAAATGACAAGGCTAACCCCCCCATGAGCAAAACCCAAAAGCCAAACTTAGCCCCCCATAAGCAAAACCTAAGTGGCAAGGTTAAACCCCCCATAAGCGGAACCCAAATGGCAAGGTTAACACCCCCCCGGTAAGCAAAACCCAAAAGCCAAACTTAGCCCCCCCACAAGCAAAACCTTCCCCGCCAATAGCAAAACACGCATGGCAAGGTAAACCCCCCATAAAGCAAACCCAAAAGCCAAATTCAACCCCCGCATAAGCAATAGCACAAGGAGAAACGGGACCCCAATGATGCTGATGATGCTGGCCAAGGAGGGCCACCACCATGAGCATCATTGGGGGCCCGTTTCTCCAGTTTCGGCTTCCCACGCGCTCAGTGACCCTTGATGGAGTCTAGATTTTTCTCAGCCCTACCCCAAGAGCGGGGCTAGTTTTCAAAACGGTCCGTGCTCATGATGCAGATTTTAGGGGGTTTGGGGGACCCCAAAATCCTTCAAAAATCACTCCGTAGCCAGGGTATTTGCCTCAAAAACGCATGTGAATTTTTGGAGTGGTTGTGGAATGGGTTCCGGGCCGGCGCTGCCGCTAAAATCTGAGCGGCAAGGTTAAACCCTCCCATAAGCAAGACCTAAATGGTAGGGGTAACCCCCACAACCAAAACCCAAATGGCAAGGCAAACCCCTTCATAAGCACAACCCAAAAGGAAAACTTTGCCCCCCCATAAGCAAAACACACATCTCATGAAATCTAGACTTTTCTCAGCCCTACTCCAAGAGGGGCCTTGGGGCTAGTTTTCAAAACAGCCCCTGCTCATGATGCAGATTTTGGGGGTTCTGGGGGACCCCAAAATCACTCAAAAATCCCTGTGTTCCACTGGGATTCGCTTCCGGAACGCATTTGGATTTCGGAGTGATTTTGGAGTCGGGTCCGGAGGCGCCGTTGGAGAAACGGAGGCCGATGATGCAAGGGTCGGCAGCGGGCGCCGCCCCCTACAGAGCTAGAGCTCTAGACACCGGCTCCTTAACCCCCCAATAAGCAAAACCTAAGTGGCAAGGTTAACCTTCCCCATAAGCAAGACGTAAGTGGCAATCTTGAAGAGGCATGGCTTGATGACTCTCCATGGCGGACAGCGCTTTTATCTGGTTAGGCGAGCCTCGCTCTAGGTAGTAAAGGAACCTACACAACAAGAGAAACAAGGAACTTAAACAATCAATCCTTCTCAAGGACGACCTCCACAGACTATACACTTTACAAAGACGTGTGTAGCCTCCAGTACACATACTCATGGCTCAATAGGGTTACTTCGTAGCCTTCCTCTACAAGCCAAAATATTGCAAAACAAATCCTGCAACACATCGACTTGACTTTTGCATATGACGTGCCAGGAGCATTTTCAACACTCCTCCTCACACCTACTGCCAGGGTCGGTACAGACACTGCGCTATGTGGGCGTGTCATCGGTTGGCTTCTTAAAGCTCGTCAAGACAGACATGGCAAGAGGCGAGAAGGGCTGGATACCTTGCTGGCAAGTGCGATGGCTGCAAAAACGGCTGTGCACAGCTTGCCCCCTAGGGTAACTCAGGACGCAAGTGCTGCGACGCACTGAGCATGCAATCACGCATCTATACAAAAACGCACAGGTATGGGCATGCGGGGTGATCTCTCCAGCTAGCCGAATTTACATCTTAATTAGGGTGGCCGAAAGCAAATCTTAGGCACTCAGGCATCTGTACATGCTGCTGCCGTTTACATAAGGAAACTAGGGCGCCTATTTAGTATCCGGACATTTTCTTACATCAGGATCCATAAAAGGATTGCCCAAGCGGGCCAGCATCATCAGCATCATTGGGGGTCCGTTTCTGCATCTTTGGCCTCCCATGCGCCCATGACCCCTCATTAGTGCCGTACCCCAAGGAGGGCCTTGGGGCTGCTTTTCGAAACGGCCCGTGCTCATGATGCAGATTTTGCGGGTTCTTGGGGACCCCCAAAATGCTTCAAAAATCCCTTTGGGCCGCGGGGTTTCGTTGTTGAAGCGCATGTGAATTTTGGAGTGGTTTTGGAGTGGGATCCAGGAGGGGCCGTGGAGAAACGAAGGTTCAATGATGCAGGGTTGGCGGCATTGACCTCGGCTCCATGGCTAAAGCCAGGGCCATGGCGAGCCCGATTTAATGGCCGCCGCCGACCCCTGGAACTCCCAGAAAGCCAGGCCCTTTCTCGTCGGAGGTTCCGGTTAGGCAAGGTTCTTGCACGGGGGACCCCTAGGTAGCAGCCCCTTCTCGCATACATATCCATCCCTACCATCATACCCAAATCCATACAGGCAGGTGTGTCTAGGACCTCATGACGAGCGAGGGCGTTGAGGGGTGTGTCTAGAACCTCATGACAAGCCCGGAGGGCACTGACGGGCGCTGTGTGTGGTGATGGGTTTGAGTCTCGTTGGGCTCGCATGAAATACTTGTCCAAACCCATACAGGGCGGTGTGTCTCCGGGCTGAGGGCGCTGAGGGCCCTGTGTGTGGTGGGTTGGAGTCTCATTGGGCTCGCAGTAAATACCCATCCATCCCTACCATCCTACCAAAATCAATACAGGTTGCAAGGGGTTGGGCTCGCATTAAACACCTATCCATCCCCGCCATCCTACCTAAATCCAGACAGGTCGTAAGGAAGACCACGGTGGAGTCTTGTAAGGGTTGGGGTTTCATTGGCCTTGCATTAAATACCTATCCTTCCCTACCCCCATTATCCTACCAAAATCCATACAGGTCCCCCTGTGGAGAGCCGATGGGCTGTGAGTCCTGCGAAGTCCTGTGAGGGCAAGGGTGTAGCTTCGTCGGCAGAACCAGGATACCTGATCATAGCTTTACGGGCGCCGCCCCCCCTGGGGTAGGCGGATATAATCCTTTAGATATAGCTATAGCATCAATCCTTATATGATCCTGTATGCCTATATAATCGCAAGGTGATCCCTTGCAATCCTAGTGTAATCCCTGTACAATCCGTATATAATCCCTATATAACCCCTATATACTCCTCGGATCATGCCTATAAAGCCCTCACATAATCCTCTTGTCATCCTCCCACGACGCAGCCACGGGGACGTGGTACCAAGCACTGGTGCGAGAGAGGTGTAGAGTAACATAAATAACAAGTTGGGGCATGGCAGCACAAACATGTATATATATATATACACATTACAACGTATTCATACTATTTGTAGGCATGCTTTCTTTTTTCTTCTTTCCACCTTTCTTTGGTTTATGTCTGTACTTCGTTCCTCGATCAGCCCTTCATATTTCTGATTTACCCCTGTACTTCTTCATGTGAAGAAGATAAAGTGCATCAAGGAGCTATCTAAGCCACTATGTTTCTACATGTTGACGACTCTTTCATTATATAGTCCTCACATAATCCCCAGATAACCCCTAAATAATCCTCACATCATCCCTATATCATCCTGACAGAACCCCTACATAATCACCTGACCCTGATATAGCCCTCATATCATCCCCACATAATCTCTATATACTCCTTATATCGCCCGCACAGAGGCCTGTATAATCTTTAGATATTCCTCCCAGGACGTAGCCATGGGAACGTGGTACCAGGCACTGATGCTTAGTCCTCGCATAATCCCTTTTGAGCCCGTTTATAGTCTTGGCATAATCCTCAAGCTGCAGCCACGGGGACATGGTACTAAGCAAGGTGCGAGGGAGGTCTAAACAAAAACATGAATTATGGTAGAAAGTGATGATAATGAGGGTATATGTTCATATATCTATATACGTTTACATAAATGTTTTTCTGCGAAATTAGGCAACGGTACCCCCCCCCCTTCACTTAATAATTGTCATTTTAAAAGTCCTCATGAACTGACGACTTCCCCCCACCTCCGTTTCGTACAATTCTGAACTTGTAAAGGCATACTTTTAAATGGTACCACCCAACACCTCATTTTTAGGTATATCATGGGGGCGGCTAAGGTCGCTATTAGAAGTTAAAGGGGGAACCATTGTGCCAGGCACATAACCTTTGTCTCCAGAGACCTGAGGATAAGGGTTGCAAACGACATAGAGCTCGTCGAGCGAGTGGATCCGGAGGCTTTCTGCTTCTGCATATGGGCAAAGCCTTTACTTCCATGAAATTTTAGCTCTGGACCTTGCAAGCGGTCTGGACCTTTGCGGCTTTGAGGAGACCAATTAGCATGTAGCGAGTTTATTGTGACTATATTGTTGGGTAGTGGGCTAAGGAGTCTCTTTAAGGGGTGCATGGAACGTGCAACTTCATGCCCTGACAGTTCAAGATCCATTCAACAGGAGATTGCAAGGTGTCGTGGTAAATGCAAGACAGCCATCCATGCACACCTCTGAAATCAGCCGCGAACTTCCAACATTGAAGATGTCAACAAATTGTTACATCACTTTGCCAAGGGAATGCGACACATGTCAATCCTCTTAGCCATGTCCCTTGCAATGGCTGGAGCATCCTGGCGACCTTCTCAGAGAGGAGAGAGAGAGTGAGGCAAGCAGTGCTCAGCCTGCAGAAGAAGACACTGCTTGTCAGCGCTTGCTGGCTAGTTCGTGAACGCATGACCAGGTTGGTAGCCTCCATGCTGATGAGTCTTGTTCCGTTTTTCAGACCTTTTCGCCTATGAAGTCTTTGTCTTAATCGATCGCCTTAATGTCTCTGTTGATGTGACAAATCCAAACACTAAACTTCGGAATCGGAAAGCGCTGCATGCGAGCGAGACGCTAAGAGAACCAGAACTGAAGGCAGCTCGCTTTAAGAGATAAACGTTGTCAATTGCAACTGCGGAAGATGCGGGAAATCCGTAAGATAATCAAACTTAGTTGGATGCCTCAAGCTGGGTGACGCTGTGTAGTATGAGAAAGGTCATGCAAGCAATTCGCTATGTCGCGTCAGACTACGAGACACAACTGTAAACAATGCACGCTGGCGATAAACGGGACGACAGACCAATTGTGAAGGAGATACGATTTTTGGTATGAGGTTTCAGCCAGGCTCTTGGATGGCGCGTCGATATTGGGCATGGACCATCAATTCTTGGACTTATCAAAGTCACATTTTGGCGTACAACTGTGTATCTGAGACCAACCAAAGGTTCGAGAAGGGTTGGGGGGCTGTAGGAAACCAGATCTAGGGCTGAGGGTGATAGTCATTGTTGACCACGGAGCACGGTGGGCGGGAACAAAGGAGCAAGGGAGTATCGACAAGTCCGAATACCATTTGGTCTGCATTACTTACGGTGCAGCATTGGTGCAGCCTTGGGCCTGTACAGAGCACGTAGACTCTTCCACGCAGTTTTCATGCAGACGTCGCAATGTGGTCGCAGGATCTGATGTGTACACTTCCGGGGCTGTCATATTGCCTGAAGCCTGAGGACCAGAGACTGTGACCTTGCTTGCGTTCAGTATTATGACTTCCAGGACGTCGGAATTCTGAATGTTTTTTCTTGCAATGCGGTCGTCAAGTAGCTACTGGCAACCTGGAGTCGGGTGTGGGAAGACATGACTTTTCAGTGCGCATAGCCAAGTCTTGAAAGCCTCGAAGTTTTCTGAGGCACCGGGAATGGCCTTTCGAATAATTGTAAGCGCTAGCGCGCACTCGCCTCGGCACACGGGCTGCAAGACATCCCAAAACAATTATGTCTGGCAAGGCCGGGGGGCAGGCGATGGGGATGCTGGTGTCGAGGCTAAGCCACTGGGTGGGGAGAGGGGGAGAAGGCTGAATCCTGATCAGCTTGTTCCAGACGCGTGTCGGCCGGAGGCCGAGGCGAATTTACAAAGTACGTCCGAGCTGTTTTGCAGTACATGCACAGGAGAGCTTCAAAAGTTGTGAAACATCCTGTTCCGAAGATGAGGCTTTAATTGTTAGATACTCTGATGCTGGTTGAAGCAGCATTCAGACAGTTGTTTCCCCGTGCGCGCTTACCTATGTAAGGGCCCGAATAATGCGCATATGTCAGATATGTGTTCACACAAGACTCGAACATCCTGGCAAAACATGGATTGCTTGGTGGTCAGCTGGAACCTGAGAAAGATGTTTAGCAGGGTTCTGTAGGTTTTCGTGGCCCGTTGATTTGGACAGAAGCATTTGCAGGGAAACGGCACGAGCCATTGGATGCGACGTTTAGTGAGTATCTGTGTGCATGAACATCCGCGACGCTGCGTCTTGGAAATTGCAAAGTAGAGCAAAATGCTGTATTTCCAATCGCCAGTATCTTGAGCATCTCCGCTGCATGAATGCTCATAAATGTTATCTTGCCCATCCGCCCGCATCTCCCTGCCCACAGCCCAACTGACTCTGAACAATGAGAAGTCAAGATGTTTTGCATGAAGCTGTTCGTAAATCTTGCTGTTTGCTGGAAAGGCAATCGGTTTCAATAATGCTGAAGAGCTGCATGGTTGCTAGATTTTGCTTTGGCCGCACATTGTAGAGACCCTGCCCTGAAGGGAGAGTTCCCTGGAGCAACGTTTCAAATCTTGGGTTCCTGGCAGGATATTAATTGGAAACGTCGCGTGCTGGCTGCCTCGGTTTAGCGGCTGAACCAAGAAGGAATGAAGATGTGGCAAGGTGACGTCTGCGAACATCTTTTGGTGGGTGGGTGACGGATGCCGGGGGCGTGCTTTTTCAGGGGTTGGGCGGGGGGTGCTAGGGAGTGGATGAGGGTGGACAGGGTTTGTGGGAAGCAGCCGGTGCTGTAGTGCAGAATGCGCGCCATTTTATGGCTTCGATGGCGTGTGCCATTTACAGCGGCCAAAGCTGTGTTTTCCCAATCTACATTTGGGATTGTGTGTTTTGGGCGTCTGGCAGGGTGTTACTACGCATCCTGACCTAACCTGCCGGTAGTCCTGCAGCATTGTGAAGATACATTTTCTTAAGCAATCTAGAATTGCTCATGGTAGCCAAACAAGACAACAAAACCAGAAATTGCCAAGGAATATTCTTAATCACATGGCAGCCAGTGGAAGTTTGAAGGCGTTGTTCTTTACCAGCTTGGGGTGCTTGAAGGATAGTCATATATCATTTAACGGATCTGAGCCACGGCATTTCTGGAGGTTCCATGTCGTGCACACTAGTTACCTGGCAAACGAAACCTACAGCTCTAACCCCCCAACTCAACCGGCTGTTTGGGTTTTTGGTTTTGGAGCACAAACATCTGGCCATGACGAGCCCAGAACAAAAAAAAAACATTCCGCATGGCTGAAGCATCCGATCCACATCTCTCATGCCATTACCCAGGTCGGATTGCAAAGGGTTAGCATCCAGCCAGAACCATCACCCTAAGCCATACAACATTTGAAAAGGGGTCCAGTTGTAGGTTGGTATTGTAGAGTCCCTTGTGCTCAGGTTGGAGTGGAAGCCCAAACTTTTTCACCGTCTGCATACATGTAGGTTTGGGCACATGTGTTGTATGTAATTCAACCCTGCGCAGCACTCCACGCACCCAAGCCACCCAAGCCCTCCGTCCGCCGGTCACAGGCTTCTGCGAACATAACAAACCCCATTTTGTAACAAGAAGTCCGCGGGAGTATGCAAAAAGTCCTACTGGGGCCGTAGGGAGTCTCACGCAGTGCAACTACTCGACTGTCGGCAGGAGAGCCTTTACCTTGCCAAAAGGAAGTGCGTGCGTGACCTACGACTGAACAATCTAGTGTGCAGTGTCATCTTTCTGAAGGCTCGCTCAGGAAGGGATCCCAGACTGCATGGGCGTCGTTGATTTCTCTGAGAATGGCGGCATTTTCGCTCTTTGCAGGACAAGGTTGTTGTGAGAATTGCTTGACCCCACCCCATGCAGAGCTGTTTCTCCCGAGGACATAGTGATCTGTTGCAGCTAGCATTCAAGTAGCAACTCATTCCTTTGAGGAAGGAGTCAGACATTATCTCCTGGCCGAAGGCACGATCATTTGGTTCGTGTTTGTTGTTGTGTACCTGCTGCCTGGTATGATGTCAGCATGGCTTTGACACGGACAAGTGAAGACAATATGCATGCTTCGGCTTCAGCTTGCGTGGCAGGTCTGCCTCGAACGTCGAGAAAGTGCTGAGCTTTGATGGCAATGCTTATCCAAGTTGGAACACGGTTGCTAGCAGATTACAACTTCCTGTTTGCAGCCTTGCAAACTGTTTCACGTAGGTCAGCAAGGCCTCACCAAGACACAGTGCCACAAGAGCACTGAGCACGGGAACTTTGTAGATTGCTTCAAAGAGCTTATGAGAAATTCTGCTCCTTCCTTGATCGTGTCCATCCACTCATGTGCGACCTGCCACAGGAGGAGCAACGCGCCAAGCGAGAGGAGGAAAAAGTCCAGAGGTCCCGATGAGATTTAGTGAAAGCACCCGGAAGTGTACGGGAGCCAAGGGCGAAGGAGAAGATGGAGCGGAAGAAAGAGATGCAGAAGCGAAGGACCACGTCTGGAACTGCGTACTTGGTCCTTTTACATTTTTTGCATGGCAGTGAGCGTCCAAGTGTGCGGTCGCGACCAAGTGTTCAAGGTACTACGATGCTGGATACCCACAGCGCTTGAAGACAGCTGCACCTGGAACAGCTGAAACACTGTTGGAAAACGCTGCCATAAAACCTGCTTTCTGCTTCTACAGGTTCAGACCAAAAGCAAATGCTGCTTAATTTCTTCTGTATTCCTCTGCGCACTGGAAGGACATCCTTTGGCCCGATGCCTCCCGAACCAAAGTTCTACTCGTTGACAGCCTTGTGCTGGCAAGTTGCTTTGTTCTCGCGGGCAATTTGCTTATGTTTCCGGTGGCCTGTAGTCGCCATCTTGGTGCACAATATGGCAGGCAGGTTGCGCTGCTAGGAACGAGTTTCAATCAGGCACAGAAAGATCTTTTGGCGTCGCTGACTTGTGCTGCCAACCTCTTTTCATCAATCGGAACTGCTGGCCATCCGTGGAGATCTTTGGAGCTTCGTTGCTACGAGGCCACCACGTGCTGTACGAGAAGAAAAGCGGGTAAAAGATGACGGCAAACCAGTGTAAAAAACATTCAGGGTAAAAAGGATGCCTTACTTGAGTGCCTCATGGGAACGCTGTGCTGTCGCGGATCCTTCGCGGAGCTTGTACACAAATTGTCGTGCACTTTGAAAAGCAAAATACTCTCCACCAAAGGCAGGTTCAGCAAGAGTCGCTGGAAACATGGAGTGGGGTGCAGGCTAACGGAGGAGTACTACCTTAGCAAGGTAGAGCGTTTGGACCAGTCGGCAAGCAGGTCCAATTCTGTCCGGCACACTCGGCTGTCACCCATCACGACGTCCCGTTGCTTTGCTGGCCAGGAGAAAGCGAGGCCTCGAAGAAATGACTTTTCATGCCTCAGATCCTTCGGGACACGTTCAACCTTGTGTCGCAGAGTGCAGGCAGAAAAGAGGAAGAGCAGGAAGTGGAGTCGGAATCGTCTGATGAGGAGACTTGTTTGTTAACAATCACATAATACGGATACATGATAATATCATCTGTGTACAGGATGGCCACCCTCAAGATGTGGCGGTGCTCACCTCAGTTCTGCTGCAAAGATTGCGAAGCGAAGATCTTGCGGTGAGCGTCACAGGACAAAAAGGCCTTGGCTTTTCGAAGGCTCCAGGCCAGGTAATGCCATTAGGATGCAGAAGCTGGCAGAAAAGACACTCTGCAAGCAGGTGCAGATCAAGATTGAAGAGTTTTTGAAAGCGTACACCAGAGGCAGCCAAGTTGTGGCAAAGTCGGCTTTGTTGCTTGACATTGTTGTTTCCGCAGGAAACATTCTTGAGCACAGCCGGTGAAGCGTGCTGGCGAATGTATGCAGGTCAGAACCTGGTCAAGATCAATGCCAAGGGAAGGAGGCTGCTGTTTATCTACTTAAAACAATTCCGGTCCTGCAATTTTTCTTGATTGATGAAGCACTAGTCGAGAGACTTCCAGCTCTGCGCTTTCTGCGTATTCATGGGTGGCGGTGGTAGTAGTTGCGATCGTGTGCTGCTAATTTGTAGTGATGTAGTGGTCACTTCAGCGACGTTTTATTACAGGCCTCTGCCGAACATGATCAGATCTCAGGACTAAAGAATTACCCCTGCTCTTTGTTTACGTCGTTGTGTGACAGTTAAGCAGTCAAGCAATCGGCTTCAATGTCACTCCGCATCACTTTGCCGCCCTGGTTGTGCGTACACGCTCTTCCGAATAAGTCTTTGATATGTTGTTTTTTGACACTCGGGCTTTGCTGTTCCTTGAAGCTTTCTTTTTGTTATCCAGTGTCTGTGTTCCTGCTGCCATGTCCCTTGACTCTTTTTCCAGGCCACTCTCTGTTTGTTTGTCCTGCGGAGCTTGCTAGGTACGCAAGGCGTGTTTATGTCGACACTGCCAAAAGGGCTGCAGCCTCAAAGGCGATTGGTGAGGCTCGTTAGAATGACACTTTATTCTGGAGGAGACCCTGCAGGCGTACTGTCTGCCATGGTCCCCCACAGACGCCAAGGCTCTTGTCATCCAGGGTGCAAATGGTCCAAAGTTCTTTCCGTTTGCTCCTGAGCTCCCTGAAGATGGTCTGCTACCATAGCAAGTCTGAAGGGTGCTTCTTGCCGTACCCAGATTTGCATCGATGAAGGAGGTAGACCTTGAAACTCGCACTACCAAGGCATGGCCAGAAGGTTTTAACAATGATGTTTCAAAGTGTTTGTGCAGCTTGTGCAGCTTCGTAGCCTGCTCGCACTTCAGGAAGGCCGTGTTGAAACCCTGGTGATTTGTGCCATTGAGAAGGATGGCAGGATTGTGAAGGACTACGTGCGCTCAGGATATTATCCACCAGCATGCCATCATAAGTAAAGACGTTGAAGGAGCTCACACTGGCTTTTCCTGATCAGTCGAAGGCACCGTTCTCAAAGTCTAGACTGTGCCACAGACAGTGAACTTCTTTGCCTGAGGCCAGTACGTTTGTGAATTGTGTCTGGGGCCAAGCTCATCAAAACCAGCAAGTGGCCAGTTGGCCAGCATGTAAGACTCAGGTTACCTTGTTCTCTCTGGCTTTACGAAGGAAGCAAGAATCCTGAGAAGCCGAGAAGCCCTGCACCACATCACATGTTAATGATGCTGAGTGTACGGTCCAAGACCGCACCTCTGGAGTCCTCACCTGTCAGGATTGTTAACGCATACCGATGTGACCAAGCACAAGTCAAATCATGAGACCGGTCCGCCTTATCTTACGCTGCACTCTGCTTCTTCCTGCTGACACCACGTGATCCGTAAATGGAACACCTTGTCTGCAGATTTAGAAGTGCCGACTGTTCTAGGTCGGAGGTGTATATATATATATATATATTATACACATATATATATACACATGCATTTAGGGGGCTGTGCCCAGAAGTGTGTAAGTATCCCCTGCACGGCACTGAATGTTCCATGTCCTTTGGATGCCCGCTGCTATCTAGGCCTTAAGCCACTTGTTAGCTGCGGAGTGGAAAATGGTGTGTGATTCGTGAGGGCTTGCTGTGCTGCTTGCCTGCGGTTCGTGCATCTACAGTGGCACCGGAGCCTGAGTTCATCCAGCTGCGCTACTCTGTCTTCTTTGCCTTCGACCTCGGGCGGTTCTTCTTGATCCTCCTCTACGCGCTCGCTGTGGTCCAGCTTGGCGTGAAGGATCTCGTGGGCTTCTTCGAGGTCGGCTGTGTCACCTGGCAGGCTGCTGCTTGGGCATTCTGTCTGACTGCGTGCGCTTTGCCGACTTGATGTCCGATGATAAGGACAGCGGCTATGGCTGCTGGAGCAAGTTCGTGTGTGGGATGGCTCGTCCATGACTTGGCGGGTTTTCAAGCGAGAGACGTCGTGGTGGCTCTCCTCTCTGGACTTGGAAGTACAAACTGGCGGCCGGGTGGTTGCTGCGTCAGTCTGGGACTGTGCGCCAAAGAGGCGAGGAGTTCACCCCCGATGATCTTAAGTACCAGCCTGCCATCACACACAAGGATCTCAAGACAGGAGAGATCATGACGCTGACCCTTGATGACCCGCTGGCAGGCATCAACAAGGAGAGGAGTGCGCTCGAGGAGATGAATGGACTTACCTCCCTGGATAAGTGTGGAGAGCTCCGTTCTCGGTTTTACTTCACCTTGGCCCGGAAGCCCGGGGAGAGAGTCGCTGACTTTGCAACTCGCTACAGGACGTCCGTTGCAGACATGAAGGCCGAAGGCATCGTGCTGCCGGACGGCGAGCTTGGTTGGTGGCTCAAGGAAAAAGTCGGCCTCGATGCCCTTCGGAAGCAGCTACTTGAGACGACCCTGGCTGGATCCGAGAGCTTTAACGTCATCGAGGGCGAGCTGCTCCGGCTCTTCCGTGATTTGCGCCTGCAGGACCCCGTTTTTCGAAAGCTTGAGCGGCAGTAGGGGGCCAAACTGACCATGAGGATGATGTTCACTCCGTCCAGTTCGACCACTACGGCTTCTTCCTCTGGCACGTTGCCGGCTCCTTCACGAAGATCATCTTTCTCTACGGCGTCTTCTGCTGTTCCTTCTCTTCCCCGTCGGTTTCCACCTCGGCAAGGGCAAGTGTCAGAGACGGCGGGCGACGACACGGTCGTGTCGACCTTTTTGGACGCAGACGAGGCGGCTGAGGACGATGGTGCAGGCGGCGACGAGCCCACGGTGGAGGAGGTCTTCAGACGGAAGTGGAGAACTGGGGTCGGGACCTCTCGGTCGACGCCCCGCCAACTAAGGCCGCTAAGGACGCCACTGATGCCCTGTCTTGACTAGAGACTTTGGAACCAAAACCTTTCCAGTTTGAAAGCCAACGGGGAAGCGACGCTCCGCACTTTTAGGGACAATAACTTGAATGTCCTCTGTCTCCAAGAGCTTAACCTTCAGTCCGCAGCTGTCCCAGGCTGCCTCAACACCGCTCGGCGGTTAGGATGGCAGATGAAACTGGTTTCACAGCCTAGGTCTAGGAAAGGAAGCGTGGCTGTTTTGGTAAGGAAGCCACTTGGCATCTCTGTCCTGGAGTCAATGTCCAGCCCTCAGCTTCAACTCCTCCGCTTTGCCATTCACGGGGCAGTTGAGCCCCTGACGATCTTATGCAGCTACAGAGTCCCCGATGAGGACACAGGGTTCCAGGACTCCCTTCAGAATCAGGTGGCAACTCTTGTCAACCTCAACTGGGCAACTTGTCTTGACGGTAATCAAAACCAGCTGCAAAGCCCCCTTCAAGCGCTCCTGCAAGGAGAGAGAGGGAAGTTGGCTGCGGTTGCCAGACATAACAAATGTAGCCACACTGGCATTTGGCTCTCTCAGCGCCTTCTCTTCAAAGACGCAGTTGAACGCCCTGGCCTTGGCAATCGCTCCATCGCCTCTTGCGCTGTTAGTCTAGCTTTTCAAAAAGGCCCTAGCTTGGAGGTTTGCTGCTATTAGGAAGCCTCTCCGCCCACTTTCTCCCGATCTCAATAACCAGGCTCCGCGCAGTTGGGTTGGTTACCTTGACTCCAACCATGAACATGACATTGAAGAGGCCTGGAGAGCTTGGTGTCAGGAAGCGGAATTTTGGCTTGTGGACGCGGGGCTCCTCAATGCTGCAGGTGGTGAAAGGAAGCTAGGTAGCGTTCCTGTTCTCAAACGTGCGGCCTCTCCGGCGGGCACGGGCCAAAGGCAGAAGAGCGGGAACTGAGGCAATACCTCCGTCGTCTTCAAGAAGCCCCTTTGCAGAGCAGTAGAGGGCGTTTATGTTAAGGCCTTGCAGCCAAACTTGGGTCTGCGCAAGCTCCCCTTGAAGAAGGCGAGGTTATCAGTCAGGGCTTGTGGGGGCAAGCCGCTAGGCTTGCGCTTGATCCTGTAAACAATCTTCTTCAGAGGGAACAAAGCAATGTTTTGAAAAAATGGAAGGACAGGGTTCACACTCATAAAGACGCTACTGAATGGGTCAAGAGTGCTGGTCGCCTTCTCAGCTCATCAACGACGACGAAGGCGCTTACTACTCTAACAGGTCTGCTGCCGCTCGGCGCTTAAAACCCATTGGGCTATTTTGTTTGGGGCTAATGACAGGCCTGACAAACACTTGGAAAGCTTTGTCATCAAGTTCGGGCCCTACATGGACTCAGCAACCTGAGCCAGAGCTCCCTGCTCTAGGATTAAGCGACCTTTGCCGTGCGCTCAGGAAAATGAAGTACGAGGCGGCAGGCTTAGATGGACTCACTGCAGAACTCGTGCTGGCTCTGCCAGAGAAAGGCTTGCTCCAGCTTCTTCGAGTCCTCCAACTATGCGAAAATCAAGGCTGTTGGCGTTATAGTATGACCAAACACTAGAAAGTGGTTGTTATCCCCAAGGGTGACTCCCAAGCTCCTTCCCTTGACCAAGTGAGACCGAGCGCCATCAGTTCGACGATCTATCGTATGAGACTTCACGCAAGCACTTGCTCCACTTGCTCCACACCTCTCCCAGGTTCTGCAACCGTGGCAGGCTGGTGGCTGCAAAAGGGTGGACGCAGAAACTCTGCTAGCTGCTAGTTGCTGCCGCAATGGATTATGGGCCCCAAGCGCGTCCGTGCCTTGCTGCCCTCGATTACCAAAAGGCTTTCGACAGTTGCGACTATCCCCTGGTCATCAAAGCCATGGAAATGCTTAAGGTTCCCGGTAAGGTCCTAAATTTTTCAGGACGAATGGTCTCGTCAAGCCAGATGGATCAAATTTGCAGGCGTTGTCTGCTTAGCCTTCCGTTCCAGTGCTGGGTTGCCTCTTTAGCCCGGTAGGCCTGGCCGCGCTCCTGGCCCGTGTTCAGAAGTTTGTGAAAGCCCATAACCCCAACATTGGGGTTCTGCTTTACCTGGATGCGCGCTCTGTGTTAGCTCCTTGCGGTGCCGCTCTTAGAAATGCCATTACATTAAGGATTGGCAGGTGCTTGAGGAAGTTAGTAGGGTGAAAACTCACACCTGTAGAACGCAGATTTTGGCCCGTACTCCTGAGGTGGCGGGCCAGCCGTAGAAACCAAGGCTTCCAGCCCCAGGACTGGGCTGAAGTTCTGGGAACTACTTTAGGTCAGTCCAGTAGACGGCTCTCTCCGGAGGAAGATAAACGATGGACCAAAGCCGAACGTGTAGCTCGCCGCATTGGCCAGTGTCGTTAGCCTTCAGAACCGCTTTGGCTGCTATTGTTTTCGCCCCTATCGCTGCTTGGGAGTGTGGGTTTGGGGGCGGAATGCCCGCCATATCTGAGCAGACGGTTATTGGTGGCGAAGCCCGAGGGGACAGGAGCAGCAGAGACTTACAAGAGTTCCTTCAGCTAGGGCATATGTGTGACCTTGGCTTGCAGTCGGGAGTGAGGCTCCTCAAAGCGTTCGCTAGGTCCACGCAAGTTTGACCTTCAGCAGTCTCGCTTAGGCCGTGCTCTCCAGGCCGGTCTCCCTGCTGGCTTGGGTCTAGGCTCCAATGGGGCACGTGGACAGATGGAGTTCATTCTTGGGACGTGAGCAAGCCCAAGCCAGTGCGCCCGTGCTGCAAGAGAAGAGGGGATTCAGGCTTCTACAGCTCTTGTCAGTAAATTCAGGAAATTGCTGCTAAAAGCAGCAGCCACCCATACCAAGCATATCATCTGGGAGTGTTCGGCGTATGCAGACTTGCGATCTGTGACCTTTCCGGCTTCGCCGCTGGTGCAATGGCTTGGGTGCTGCAGTCTCCCAGAGGATCAAGCTGTGGTACTCCAACGCTTGAGCGCGATGTTGCTGGATAGAAAGGCCGCTTGCGAAATCCTTCTTGAACGCCGCTGCCGCGACTGATTAGGGCTAGCAAGGCCGTTCTTTTTGGTTTTCCAACTCCTGGTCGCCTGCCGCCTTGGCATCGGGTTGTCGGATCTGTGAGTTGAGGCTTCTTATTTGTCTTTCACTGACCTGTCAGGAAGCAAGGATGGGGCGAAAGCCCGCAGCTAAGGACAGCGTGGTCCTCTTCGTTGACGCAATCCCTGTGTAAGGATGCGATCGAGACGAACCCCCTGCTTTTCTAGTGACCTTTGCCCTGCAGATTCATCGGCGCCGCCATAGAAAAGCGCGCGTGCAGGTATGAAGAGCCCGTAGAACAATCT